TCTATGCTACACGCCTTTCCCCCTATGTAACACAGAAACTCACACAGGATGCTCACACAGGATGCTCCGCCAGTTCTTATTTAATTATCATTCACTCAGAAACCTAAAACCATATTAGAGCCATCCAGACTAATCTGATTTTCGGTATCTCGGCCAAAAACACTGATACATGCAGACTGAAGGGACCAGGGATCGAACTGCAGATCTCTTATTAAGTGAAGCACAGTTAAAAAAACAACAAGATGATAACCCTGGATTGAAAGTCGTGTTTGTGTAGGTCATTCCAGATGTGTTTGTTCACCACCTTATTTGCCTCTATGAAGGTTTATTCTCTGGTGGGCCCACTGCCCAACAGACCTGTAGTATTGCTTAATATGTAAATTATATAACCTGAAACTTGTTCGTATGAATTTGTATACCAAATTTAATGGAAAGCCAGTCTATAGTTGAAGACTGGTTCATATCTAAAGCACCTATTAGGACATTTTTCTGTGTGGATTTTGGCAGCCGTTCACCCTTGTGTTAGATTGTTTAAACAAATCTCTTAATGCTTCCCTCTAACTGACCAACTTGCTATTCACTGTGAACTTTGTAGTGTGAAAAATAACAAACATCTTTTTCCATTTCAGAATAAATCTAAGACTGTTTCATAACCACTGAAAAACTCCTCATAGAAGGTTCAAACCATGTTGAAAATGTTTTTTAGCACCAGATTTAAAAAAATATATATATATGTGCAAGCTCTGGGAACTTCTCAGCATTCTTAGCATTTCATTACAAATTGACTACTAAATCCCCAACCACGGTATTATAAATGGACTGTATTTCCCACTATGAGTGATAGTCACCTTTATCTTGAAAATGTTGTTTTTTTCTTTCAGAACATGTCCCTACGTTGCCATAACTGTGCATTGGTGACAAGCTCCAGCCACGTCTTAGGCAGTGGAGCAGGAGAAGAGATTGACCATACAGAGTGCGTGATCCGGATGAATGACGCTCCTACGATGGGGTACGAGACTGATGTGGGGAACCACACCACTCTGAGGGTTGTGGCTCACTCCAGTGTGTTCAGGGTGGTCCGCAAGCCCAATGAGTTCCTACACCAGACAGACAGCAACCCTGTGATCATCTTCTGGGGACCCCCAAACAAGATTGGGAAGGATGCAAAAGGAACCTTGTACAGATTGATCCAAAGAGTCAGCATGACCTACAGCAACTTGTCTTGTTTCAGTGTCACACCCACCAAGATGCGCAGATTTGACAATCTATTCCATACGGAGACGGGACGAGATAGGTGAGTATTTAGCATAATGTGTAACTATTTTTTTTTTTGATCATTCTCATGCTACTTTCATTAATGTTTTTCTGTTTTTGTGCAGACAAAAATCTCACTCGTGGTTGAGCACAGGCTGGTTCACCATGGTCATAGCCATTGAGATTTGTGATAACATCAAAGTTTACGGGATGGTTCCATCTAATCACTGCTCGTGAGTATAATGATGGCGATAATCCTCCTATTTGGACTCTAAAAAGGAGCACTGTAGAATAAACCCTCCCCTAACCCTCTCCTCTGCAGGGTGTAGGAGAACTTTGTGTTGATGAAAAACTTTAAACAAATCCAAAAAGCCCTCTATAAAGCTAGTGCTTTGATTGTATATTTCCTGGTTACTGTATAAATCGTTGACTTAGAAGTGGACGTAGACTCTTGGTTTCAAGATTAAAGCCAATGTGGAATGGCCTAAAACCTGCAAGTGGCCAGCAGGGGCTTGACTTCTATGCAACCGGATGAGAAAAATACTCAAAACATCAAGTTGTACATTTTATAAATTATGATTCCATTTGCAGTAAAACAGACTATTTAGTTTTTAGGCGTGGCTACACATTGCTACCACAACTACATGTCAACTGGGATAGAGACTTAGCAATGTGTATCTAACTTGTCGTCCAGATACGTCTCTTCAGAGTAGCCTAAAAAGGGGTGCAGTCAGACTGACTATACTTAAATAAAGGTATTTTTTGAAACACGGTACACTAATGACTGTTTTTTATGAATGGTTTATTTAATTTCTGTCAATAGATACCTTGATCTTACACAATAGACCTTTAAAATACCAACAACCAATGAGTCCTCACATTATGTCAACCTTATGCCTGTTACGTTCCCCAAGATGGCTATGGGATGAGGGGAGTAACAATAAATTAAAACCCAGGGAAAGAAATAGGAACTAAATATGCAAAGTTTAAAATGATTTATTAACAAACTAAATCAAAATGTGCAACACAAAACCAGCTTCTTCTAAAAAACACTTAACAAATGAGAAGCCAATTCAAAACTAACACTCAAGATATGAACAATAAGGCCTTAATCCGAACACAATCCTTCCACAGAAGGATCACACTAAGTTTGTCAACATCAAAGACACACACAGTCCAACAACCCACTAGCAACTGGCAGCCTCCTCTCCTGCTCTTTATAGTTTGCCCCTGATTAGTAATTAGCCACAGGTGATGCTGGGCACTCTGAGGCTGAGGAGCAACACCTGGGGAGCACACACAGGAGAGAGAGAAAACACAAACAAAACTACAGCACGTAACAATGCCCTTTCCTTTTTAGAAAAAAACCTGGATCCAAAAAGATGCCCTACCACTACTACAAGCCCCGGGGGACCTGATGAATGTTTAACATATCTGCAGAATGAGAGCGGCCGCAGAGGGAACCACCATCGCTTCATTACAGAGAAACAGGTGTTTGCACGCTGGGCAAAGCAGTATAACATCTCCTTCACTCATCCCAAATGGTGAAAAGACTTTTAGAGATCTCTCCGAACGCTTGGAGCGGGATTTCAGTGCAACTTCCCTCTGATAAAAGAAAATCAAAGAGCCAGATGATGAATGACAGCTATTTTCAGGATACACCGGTAGAATGAAGAAGGAGCTTTTGGAGGAGAGCTATTATTGGACCAAAGGACTGAGGAGATGTCTGGGAGTATTTTCTGTCAATGAGGTGTGCAGAATCAGAGAAGTTTCTGAACAAGTAGATCCCATGTGGACCAACGTGTTTTTGTAAACAGAAAAGGAATGAATTTAAAGAAGATTTTTATATGTTTTTAAAACCTTTATTATGCATTGAAAATGCACTTAAGTTCTCATGTTGTGGGGTGTTGGGGTTACAAGCATTCTCATAAGTTAATAAGAGAGTAAAAATCACTATATTCTATTTGCTGTACATTAGCTATAAGCCATGTGGCCAGTGTAACATTTCAGATTCTGCATTTACAGATCGGCATCGGTGTCACCGGAACACGATTTGGTCTAGCTTAAAAGATGTTAAAATTTCCTACTAACATTTTCCTGCCATGCAACAGTGTTTAATGTGTCGGCTGAAGGCATCTCTGCAAAGACTAAATCGAGACTGAAAACTGGCACAATTCAGCTTAGAGCACAAGAAAAAGTCTGATAAGTGAATGAACGCTGCAAACAATCTGGAATGGAAACTTGGTGCTTCAGACCATTTTTGATCAGTATCTTTTTTTGAAAGACGTGTGGTGCTTAAATTCAGCCAAATTCAGCAGAAGTCACTTCGAGGTGAGACAGAGATCACTGAGGATAATGCATGAAAGTAGTTCTAGCGATTTTTCCACTGTTTGTCTTTTGATTTATATTCTTTATATTACCCGGACACATTCAGAATGCAGAGATTATATAGCACCAGCTTTACACTAGAGATGTAGATTTAATATGATACAAAAGTTATTTTCAGTCAAATGGTCATACCTCTGTTTTGAAGAGATTAGTTTCTTTACTGCACTTGAATGTTTTCAGGAAAATTTGAAGATATAACGATTGCATTGTGAATTGAAAACTTTTACCTCGGAGGCATTGTGGCGCATGCACATTCAGTTCCAAACATTTAAAGAATACATCATCATGCTAGTACGATTTAGCTCTCTGGACTGAAGAAGTCAATTCAAAGTGAAAATACAATTTCTGACTTTAAATGTGGAAAAAGATGCGTCGTCTTAAACCATTTTAAACTCTTGCAAGTATTTACCTTCAGAAGAGGCCTTTCTCTCCATGTGGGCTGTGTGTTTGAGTCATGATCAGAAACCTGTATAATCCCTGTTTTCAAACTGCTTGTTACTAAATGAATGAATGAAAATGTTGAAACTGACAGTGGTACTATTGAACAAAGGTGACACTGCAACTCACCACAAATTCAATTATATAAAATTCTTATAAAAAAATGTATTTAAAAAGGGACCATAAATAACATAAATATTAACAGCATAGATGCTTAAAATTTAATAAGTATGATACAAGCATGTCCTACAGTTTAACTCCATGAGGGAGGACGAAGTCTGAGAAACACAAGTGAATGAATCTCAATTTAGTTCAATAAAAAGTCAAACTACAGGCTTCAACATGACTTTCACAACATTCTAAAACCTTACAAGCTTCATGAAGGTCGGGTTTTTACGATGACTGTGTGAATTCATTTGAACTGGGTTGTATATCAAACCGTTACAAAAAATATCAGTTATGTTACAATTCACTTAAACACTTTTATCCAAAGCGACGTACATCAGACAGTAAGTACAACACTAATCCATTCATACACCGCCACTGAAGCAGCAGGAGCAATGCGGGGTTAAGTGTCTTGCCCAAGGACACATTTATTATTTATTATTAAATCTGTGCCTGCCTTCTTGTCTGGGTGAAGGGAAAATTAAACACTGATATAAAGTGGTGTAAGGATGCATGCAGCATGCATTGCAAAAGGAAGACAAGGTGAATCTACAACCCAATGCAGGAAGCTGTGAAGGCCTCCACTCTCTCTACTAAAATGTGTCACTTCCTCTGAACTTTGAGAGACCTGATGTTAGCGTTTCTGACAGTCTTACTCTGAAGTTCAGTGCCATTTGTTAACCACATTGTGCTGGTAACTGTTGTTCATGAAACACTCTGTATACCGTCTATCAAAATCAAGGATATGCTTTGGATAAATACAAGTCACTTCAAGCCTGTGGAGTTTATTTTGTAAATATGTACAATTTGCTGGACAATTCAAAAACACTGACACACTGAAATGAAACAAACAGAAGAGGAATTTGAAAACCAAAGTTCCTCCGATGATGGGGGATGTGATGTTTGAGGTCAAAGCTTTTTAAGCGGTGAGCGATGTTTTCAAATCCAATTTATTTTTTTGAACCACTGGAAACATCTGCAAAAGCAGCCGTGATTTTGGGTCTCAATCCTGCCATGGAAACCAAGATGGCCTCCTGTAGAGAAGAAAAGAAATGAGAAAAAAACTGAGTTACTACATTTCGCACCACACAAGAGATTTGACATATATACGCATGAAACAGATATGTCACAAAACCTCTAATCGGCCCTCACCTCTGTGCGAATGGTCCTGCTGCCCTGACCTGGGCATGTGTTGAGATAAAGGTCGAATAACACACTGGGGTCATTCACCTCAAGGTTCTGGTCAGAATCTAAACTTGCCTCCAATCCCTGAAGACCTCCAAAAACGACCAGGAGGTGCCTGAAGGTGGAAAAAAAAAAGGGTCAGATTTAATGACAAAGAAAAGAAAGTGAAGTATCAAGACTGTGAGTTTACAGCTGTAGCTCTGTGAGACTGTTCCTGGGCACAGTGAGAGCTTCATGATAGTGTTAGCATATTAATACTCTCCCAATGACAATTTGATTGTGCTGATTTTCAGCAAACTTTTTTCACCATCAAAGTTTGGAGTGTAGGATTCGCAAATTTTTAGGCCCAACAGATACCGACATCAATAATAGGGAGAGGAAAAGTATGATACCGATATATTGGCCGATATCTTTGTAGAAATAAATATAGACATACAAACTCATATCTTATATGTGTTGATCCCTCAAATGCAGTTATCACACACGTGTGGAGAAGATATACAAAGTTGGTCACTGAACTGGAAAGTAACTGTGCATGTACCTGCCACACTACTTGACACTCTGTTGTTGTAATCCATATAGCGCCCTCTGCTGTTGACAGAGAACTGCTAGTGTAATACAATGAAACTCAAATTAAATGCTTTATGACTGGTGAATAATTCAAGTGATAGCGACACATATCTGGGACAAAAGTAGCCGATACCAACAGTCACTGGATATTATTGTATTATATTATTATGATTACATCAAAAGTACAGCTGAGGTCAGTGACCCTGGCATTAGCTTTGCAGGTATTTGATTATAAATACAACACCTAAATTCACTTCTGATTGGGCTCATGAGTTAATAAAAGTTATTTAAATTCATTCTGAAGAGGACTTGAATGTCTTTCTGGACTGGTCAATCTTAGAACCCACTAGCTATAGCCTGACGATGTCATACCCTCTGTGAGCAGCCTACTTTTTGGGGGTTCCAGTGTATCCAGTGTTTAGTAATAAAGGCCTTCTGGACAGGACTTCCATTTTTGAGCTCTGTACTGTTTCCAGTCCAACAAGCAACTTGAAAATGGAGGATGGATTTGGAATTGGACCTACATCTTAATGGCGTATTAACTGAACTTGCATACCGATTTCTGTTTATGGGGGTCAATTAAAGCTGAGTCGTCATCAGGGGACCGCTGATAGTTACCCATATTGCATTATGGCTGATGTTTACTCCCTCATTTGCTCTCCTACTTGGATGGTTTTTCCTGCATAGAGCCAATGCTGGTTGAAATGTGAGTGGACAACACTGATTGGACTTCAAACAGAAACCAGGTCGCTTCCAACACCATGCACCAGGAATCCAGTAAAGCCTCAATGGCTGTTAGGAGATTTCATTCTGGACAAGAATGGTTAAAAATACATTCCTTTCCGACTTGCCCTCCCATCTTATTCTGAACTTACTTGAATGGTGCCATCTTTGTTTGGTCCATGTTGCTGCCTCTCTCTGATGTTCCTATAGTCATGTCGTATCCTTCTTTATATGGACTTTCTGAGAAAACTGCACCTGCATGAACAAACCCACAGTTTTTACATTCCAGCAGTCACAGCGGGGCAAAGTGATAGTTGTAAAGTGTTAAATGATGACTTACTGAGACAAGACGCCAGACGGACACTGTAGCCCCAGTAGAGACCCCCTTCAGTCCTCGGCAGGTGAGGAGCCACCACCTTACCTTTAAAAAGTTTGCTTTCTGCAGAGGAAGGAAGACGAAGATGATCACTGTCCCTGAAGCGTCTGAGAACTTTTTATCGAAGAACAAACGCACACAGACGGATCGTCTGATAGAGAAACTCACCTGGATTCTGGGATTTATGGAGCTGTACTGTGACTCGAAGTCCGGACTGCAGCTGTTTGTCAATCCGAACATCCTGTGGGAGCAGATGATCAAAGTCAAGTCGAGGTTTTATAATCTGGAAAACCTGAGACGATGCATCATATTTAAGCTAAAGTGAAGAAATTCACTCTTTCCAGCCTCCTAAAGAGGATTTGATTTCTAGTTCCCTTTTTCTTGAGTGACTGCAAACTGAAAGTATTTGGATTGTAGACAAACTGTATGACGACGGTACACTTATATTCTAGATTTTAATGGATATTTTTGACATTTTATAATCAATTCATCTTGAGTGTATTTGGTAGATTAAATAAAGTTAACCTTGCTTGGCTGCTTGCAGTACTATAGTCTGTGTTTCCATTTAAGTACCACCAGTATCTTTGACTCTAGTGACCACATCAGAATATAGTTACATTTTATCTCCTGTTAAGACATGCTCACCTTTCTCATCCCACAGTTGACCATCGAGCCTTTTCCTTGTTTGGTCGGCCTGTCGAGGACAATTCCTTCCCGGTATTCTGACTGATCATCTATCCTCATGTGGTGAGGGGAGTCTAAAGGGTTCAGCAAACCTGGGAGGGAAAATAAAAACATGAACTTGTGAAATAGTGTCCCCTTTGGACTTCATGTAAGGTTCTGTGTTGTCTTTTTTTTCTTTAATACCAGATACAACTAATGGGAAGTTGCTCCAACAGCATTACAGCTAGGATCATGCAGGTGACTTTTGGAAAAGTGAACATGGTTTTGTAGATTAGAGATTAGGATAAGTACGGAGCCCCTGAAGTTCCAAAAAGTTGCACAAATCTTAAAGTTAATAGCAGTCTGTACATCCATGAATACATTTCAAACAAGAACTGCTATTGGACAATTCACCAGACTTTTAAAAGCTGCAGAAATGAGCCAACTTTTAAGGAAGGCATAATCACATCAATTTAGTCCAATGAGACTCCTCATCGACCTGCCATAATTGGATACATTTCAAAAGCAAAATTTAGACTTTTACCTGCATACTGTAAATCCTGATGCTTTGGAAAAAACCATTTGCGCAGATACCTGGTGGAGAAAAAAAAAAACCCTGAGTTTAACGATCTGACTAAGTGGTCCGACACAGGTTTGTCTGATGGTAAAGTACTTTTCTTCTTACTGGGGACATTCCAGATACTGAAGTATTCTGGCGAGCTGAATACAAGCCTGTCCCTTCTTCCCGACACCTTTAAATTCCCCTTCAACGCTCCTGCAGGACAAAGAAGAAGAAGTTAGTTTCAGAGGTTTTAAAGGGCAACTTACTGGAACAATGTAGCTCTTAAATGAACTCACTTGACATCTTCTCCTTGTTCATCGAACACAACGATCTCGTCGACACAGAACACGACGCAGGCTCGGGCGATCTGTCCTGCCAAGTATGTGCGAAGTTCAGTAGACTGAGCGTTATCCAACACAGAGCCTGGCAAGGCCACGCTGACTGTGTAAGCCCGACCTAACAGACACATGCACAGATGACACATCAATATACAATCAAAAAGGGTATACAGCCTAATAGAAATCCATGATATTACAATATGGTTACCTTTACTGTTTTGGCTCTGTTCAGATTTGTCAGCCTCTGCAGCCTCTACCTCCTTCTGCTTCTCCAGCTGCTTGATCAGCTTCTCCTCTTTCCTCTGCTTCTGAGTTTCTTTAACTGGTAGGGAAGAGTTACCAAAATCACAACCACTGTAGAGCAGGTTAAATGTACTGTTGATTCTGTCTGTTTGATGGCAATCAGAGGGTTAGGGTTGTCTTTTATCAAATCAGATTTAACCTGAAGGACTTTAAGTTGAAGGTGAGAAAGTTAATCTGTATTGCTATTGTATATATAATAATTTGTTTGTTACTTTTGGCACATGTGTCAATCACACCTGATGCAGCTGAGAGTTGTTAGCCTAATGGAGCTAACGTGTTAGCTGTTTACTTACTTTCTGATTTTCTTTTCTTCCAGTCGACCCTCTCTACAGTCTATAAAAATCACAAAATACATTACAGAAGACACTTTTAAAAAAAATAAAACAGGACATTTGGTTTGTTGTGTTTAAAAAGGGTGCACTGGTACCTGAGCGGATTCAACGCTGGGTCTTTTTGCTGCAATATTGGTGGACATTTTTACGCACACATGTGATATTATTTACTTCCGGGTTCTTCTTCTTCGGGGTTTTCTTGATGCTGTTTTTTTCTAGCTGTTTTCCTAGCGACCCCTTTCGGTAGGTTTTATTACTGCAAACTAAATAACTTTCGTAGTATTCATTGATTGAAAATCTATTTTTAATAACTGAAACCATTCAAAGACAAAAATGTTATTCAATTATCTATTGATGAAATATAAAATAAAATATATAGAACATAGAAAGGTTATAATTGCAACCTTATGGGGCCATGTGGCGCTTACATGAGAGTGCAAAGTCGGATATGTATTTCCCCATTAAGTCTTGTTTGATGAAAGCTTAATTAAAACCCTTTTGATAAATATTTAAATTCATATATTATTTTGTGCAAAAAAAAAACCCCATTCATAGATATTTTATTGATAAAGTCTTGGTGTATTCATATGCACAATATGGTGTTAAGACATGGACAGAAAATGCATGACTATGTAGGCACACCCTACAATGCTTTTATTCTTTTTTTCTTTTTTTTTTTTTTTTAACTAAAATTTCTCAAGATGTCCTGGGCTGCGTCCAGAGTGGAGTCCTCCTGTTAGACAAAGAGAGAGAGTTTCAGGGACTGACAAAGAGCAACGCACTGAAAGACAGGTCCTGAATCAAACTGAGATTTCATTCAATGTTAGCAATTTAATTTAGCTTACTTTGACGAAACAGAATCTGATGTATTTGTTGAACTCCTTGCTATGCTCTGAGCTGTAGAATGCAGACACGGGGATTGTCGCTAAACCCTGCAGAACACAAAATTATAACGTAAAGGCCAGAAGAACATAAATAAGCTACACAATTATACACTAAACATTATTCAGCACTTGTGTTAGAGTCCTATTTGGGACTTTAATCAAGTTTTTGCATAATCTTTTAATATTCACCTTCTCTTTAATCATCCATTTAACAAATCTGAAGTCGTAAGGTTCCTCCTCAGTGCTCTGGTCATTCACCTCTGTCAAAAAAATACATGTATCGTCCATGTTTTTATGTGTTTTCACATGGCTTTCATTGTGCATTGTGTCTTGTAATGATGATAAGACTCAGCTGGAAACACAAAGACATTCACACAGATGAATGCTGGTGCCACTCACTGACAGAGGAGATGTCTGCAATGATAAAGTATCCTCCCTCAGGCATGATGGGCTGCAGACCCACACTCTGCAGACATGAGGCCAGCTTGTTTCTCTTGTGTTGCAGCATCGCAGGCAGCTGTTTGAAGTAGCTCTCTGGAGTACCAAACACCTCATACTCTCTCTCAAACCCCTGCGCTACTGCCTCCTGATGAAAAAACAAAAAGGAGACATGCAGGACTAAAGCGGTTCAAGCATGGAACTCATGTGAAAATCACGATGTATGCATCAGATTTGTGTACCTGAGCAGCGGTTGCACAATCGAACACAGACATCTGATGGGCGGCTTTCAGATGTTTGATGACATTTCCAGAACCCATAGCCCAGCCGACCTGGAAATAAGAAATGAATTCCTTTTGTTTTTAAATTTGTGTTCTTTTCTTTATGTCTGTCCGTTTGTGAATGACTTTGGGCTGCATGTTTTTATCATGTTTTTATATGAAAGGTGCTATATAAATAAAGCTGAGTTGAGAATCAGCATGTGTAGAAGAGAGAAGCACATTATTGGAGCTCTTCAAAAAACAAAACAAAGATTGTGCTTTTACCTTCCAGCCAGTAGCACTGAAGGTCTTTCCTGCACTGCCAATGGTGATGGTTCGCTCCCACATCCCAGGAAGGCTAGCTGATTATACATTTATATTGTTAATCTATAACACAGCTATAGTTTTTTATGTATTGTACAGGCTGTGTCTCACCAATCTTCACATGCTTTGCTCCATCATAAGTCAGCCACTCGTACACCTCATCACTGATGCACAGCATGTCATGTTTGATGCACAGATCAGCGATCATCTGGAGCTCCTCAGTCTTATAAACCTGTAACAGACACAGATAGTTAACATCTATTTATACACAGATGATAACTTTAAAGAGACACACCACTGGTACATATCTTACTTTGCCTAACGGGTTGTTGGGAGTGTTGATAACGATGGCTTTCGTGCGAGGAGTGATTTTACTGGACAGCTCCTCAGGAGAGAGAACCCAGTCTCCACTTGTCAGGACGGCACCGCTCTCAACTTTCTGTAAGTACCAGTTGTTGTTGTTGTTGTTTTTTTTTTAAATAGCTTGCTAATTTACAAACCATTACACAAGAAAAAGTGGAAGTTGTTGAAATATGCTGTGGAATCATTTTGTAAACTGTGTTTACCACTGACCGGCCTTAAAGGAACATACACTGCCTTCCCTCCCGCCATCTTCACCATCGGCTGGTAGCAGTCGAAGAACGGCTCGACAATTATGACCTGAAAGACAAACGCCAATCACTTTTGTTGTGTTTGGTAGCATAGCATATACTTTGAATCGCCTTCCCGTTAAAGGTGAATAACGTCATTTTTCATCCTGGGTCCTACATAAACATGTTTCAGAGTGTAAAGGACTAGGTTCAAACTTGTTAGCTCCAGTAGATTAGGACAACCAGCAGCCACAACACAGCTGTAAACTACTACAATGTAATCCTTTGTGCCAAAGGTGAACAAGTTATGTCCTCTAAAAGTGATTCTTTTCTCCCATTGACAGGCTCAGGTTGTTACAGTAACTGTGTGTTAGGTGGAAACACGCTCCTCTGAAGTTGCCCTAAAGGATTACACTGTAGCCAGTAGTGTCGTGACCCCGTAAAGCATTTTCCCACAAATATAACTCGTCTTTATATTACAATAAAGACATTTTGTATATGATCAAACCTGTTTTTATTCATTGCTATTGGTCTAAAGAATAGCATCAAAGTACAGTGCGTATACCATATACAGAGTTTAAATTATTTACAACAATATCAATAAGCTTAACAATTTAAAATTCCTTAAATCTGTTTAAAAAAAACCTTATAAAAAAAAAAAACATTCTTGAGTGTTACAAACGTTGCATTAAATGTGGTTATTCAACATATAAATGCAGAATGCTGATTGGACAAAGTGTGACAAAATGTTTAGACTTTTTTGTCCCTATACTCACAAAAACATTATGGTTCAATACAAATCCTTTGATTTTAAATTGTAAAGCTTTTCAAAGATTTATAATAATAGTTGAATCCATCATTTCTACCAATTTTGGGTTGGTTTACAGACCTCATCTCCTTTATCCACCAGAGCTTGAAACGCACAGAAGAGAGCCTGATACGCTCCGACTGTGACCAGGACGTCCTCAAAGGGATCAATCTCACGTCCCACAACCCTACTGAAGAATTTAGCCAGAGATTTCACAAGGGAGGGGTGGCCCTGAGGGAAGAAATTCAGGTCTTGAATATTGTTGTGAATCCATTAGTACTTTTAATACCAGAAAAAATACTGAATCCAAATCAGAATCACAGGACTTCACTTACAAACACTCGGGTGTACTGGTGCATCAGGGGTCCTCCACTCAGAGCTTTACAGAATGCCTCCTGCACAAACTTTGGAGGGGAGAAGTCAGGAAACCCCTGACCCAGGTTCACTGCTTTGTAGTCGGCTGCCAGCTTCGTGAATTCAACCCTGTTGGCACATCACAAATGAATAAAAACAGAATCCTAGTGTAAGAAGATGATTGGTTTTTAAAGGAGAAAAACACTAGATCGCAAAGATCCGCTGTCTGACCAGGGCTCAGAAAATCAGCAGAGACACCTCCCACCCCGACCAAGGACTGTTTTCGCTGCTGGACTCTGGAAAGAGGTTCCGCAGCCTCCGAAGCAGAACTTCCAGGTTCTGTAACAGCTTCTTCCCACAGGCCATAAGACTTTTGAACACAAAAAAATAATCCCTCCATTACCCTCAAACCCCCACACAGGACTACCTCACTGGACTGTAAAATACATATAACGTGCAATATATTTATCTGTATAGTATTCTTACTCATAGTTTTTCTTTTTATATCTATTTATATCTGCACCTTATTTTTATTTTTATATGTAAATACATGCTGCTGTTCTTATCCTGCACTACAACGAGCCAAATGCAACGAAATTTCGTTCTTATCTGCACTGTAAAGTACAAGTTTGAATGACAATAAAGAAAGTCTAAGTCTAAGTCTAAGTCTAAGTCTAAGTCTAAGTCTATATATTGCATGATTGCACAAGAGAGTTTCCTGACAGACTTCACTTGGGGTACCACAACCCAAAAGTTTGTGATGAACACATACACTGCTTCTAAAGGGAGACTTTTTAAAAAATCCTGAATGAGGTAATGTTCCCCTGCAGTGAGCTGTTTGCTGACACACTGACTGAAGACTGAACTTTTCTGTCATCAGCCAATAAACTCCCGCACAGCTCAGGTGTCAAATGTCCACCTCTCATTATCTCTTACCAAACATTTTTATCCACACCGTCTGTTCGGTGTGCATGAAGCCGTCCTGACATGATTACCTGAAAATACAAGAACACTTGAAGTTATCCATAAAATGAGCAAATATGACATTAGTGTGGATGTAGTTCTGCACCGCTGCTTGTCTTACCTGTTGGTTGTTTCTTACTGAACTCTGACAAAACTACAGTCCAATCTGCAGGAACATCCAGCTGCACTTCTCCACCACTCCTTCCCTCGAACTTTCAACCTTCTGTAACTTTATGGCTGCACTTTCCTTTCCCTTCAATAACATTTCTCCATCGAATGAGAATAAGAGACCTGAGATCTATATGCGAAAAAAGAGCAAAGAGGATCAAACTCAAACACAGATTTGTATTTAGAGATTTAAAAATCAGAGGATTACAAATGACGCTTAAAGAATAAACTACCTTTACTGTTGTCATGGTATAATGGTGCAATTCAACCATGACAAAGAGCAATGCAACAAAAGTCTCTTACAGCACTGTCACACTTTGAATGCTCTGAGCATGAAGCATAAGACAAAGAAAGGCTGGTTTGTAATGTGCACACCAGTGAGGAATCTTGTTGGGCTCTTTATAGCTGGTAGCTATATAGCTATAGCTGGCAGACATGAAACTTTCTGCAACACTGTTACTGATGGACAAAAGGGTATTAAACCCCTACTTCGTTAGACAAGAGAGGTCACACAGTGTTATCTAAATGGCTCCTCTAAAGACAAAGACTACAGGTGGAAAGCGGGTGGGACTCTTCGGCAGGTAGAGTTTCAGTTTGAGATGAGATAGGTCGACTCTCGTAAAAAGAGTAGTCGTTCCCTTACAAAGGATGCTACTCGATGGCCTGTTTTCTTTCTTTCTCGCATGTCGTTCCCCACTCTCTCTCTCTCTCTCCCAGGTTTCTGACTCTACTCATTATTCTGTCTCCAAAATAAAAGCCCAAAAACCCCCAAAATACATATAAAAAAAAACCTCATCTGAACCAGCCACTGAATCTGACCTGAAAGAAACTTTTTACTTTTTTCCTCTGCACAAACATGCTCATTTTAAAGTTACGATACGATACACTTGATTGTCCCCTTGGGGAAATCTGTCTTGGACTCGAGACTCAGGAAGCGTTAGATGTATATTACAGTAGATTCTTCACATGGCATGAGCTAGACACTTTGCCAATCGAGGTTGTAAGACAGGAAAAAAAAAACTCACATTGAAAAGAGACGGCATGTCGAGTTCTTAAAATCTTTAATAAATTTATACTACTTTGTTTCAGGAAAAATATCTCAGGAGTAGAACATGATTTAGGTCACAAAGTTAAATACATCCATTTGATTATTATTTGTTATTTAAAATATCTTTTAAATCATTGCACAAGGATTTTCACAGTGTTTTGCTGTATGGACAAACTGAAAGTGGACGTCGTGTTCTCATATTTTTCACAGGGAAACATTAAATATGGCTCTTTCTTTTCTGAGGACGGGACCAGTGACAGCTTGAGCAGGATGTTGAAAACTTTATGGACGGTTAACACTTCTTCACAGTTTATTTCCACTACCCCTGACTCCATTTTTTCAAGATGTCTGCTGCTGCATCCAGAGTGGAGTCCTCCTGCGAGACACAGAGGGGTCAGAGTGTGAGAAGGACTGTCAAAGGGTGACATGTTGTGATTTATTTTAGCTTTCTAAGTAGAATTTACCTTCACAAAACAGAATCTGATGTACTTGTCAAACTCCTTGCCGTGCTCTGGACTGTAAAATGCAGAGACGGGGATGGTTGCTAAACCCTGCAGGAAAAAAAAAAAAGCCAATTTATAAAGCAAGTTTGTTATTTTTTTCAAGAAATTCATTTGTGTATTCATGCAATTAAATCAGATAAAAGAACTGCATTTTTACCTTCTCTTTAGTCAGCCATTTAACAAATCTGAAGTCATAGAGTTCCTCCCCTGTGCTCTCGTCATTTAAGTCCACGTCTGTCGAAAAAAAAGGAGCCGATGAGTCAATGTCAGTAAGGCGGCTCTTATCGACGATTATTTATACACATCTGCACTCTACTTACTGACAGAGGAGATGTCTGCGATCATAAAGTATCCTCCCTCAGGCATGATGGGCTGCAGACCCACACTCTGCAGACATGAGGCCAGCTTGTTTCTCTTGTGTTGCAGCATCGCAGGCAGCTGTTTGAAGTAGCTCTCTGGAGTACCAAACACCTCATACTCTCTCTCAAACCCCTGAGCTACTGCCTCCTGATGAAGGCAGACGTGGATAAGAGAAAGAGAGAGAGAGAGAAAAACATGTTCATTTCATGATGTTGAAGTTTTGTAATAATCAAAAGGTCACCATGACTTTCAAAAGCAGCTGGCAAAAAAGAAAAAAATCACAAAACTGCAGTTCCTAAAATGGTGGCTCCAAAAGTGAGTCATACCCCACAGACCCCGATACTGAACCTCTATCTATATTTACGACAGAAATGATATTGTGTGCAGCTTGCTAAAGAAATGGATTTTACTCCTTGTAGCTTATTCAAGACAACAATGGGGAATTCATTTTGTTAGTAATGCAGAGTTTGCAGTCTGGCCACTGTGACTTACAGTTTTGGGGTCACATCAAGTTACTAAACTCCCAACATCTTCCACCCACTTTCTAAATACAGTCAGTTCTGGATAGAAAAACAAAACAAAACAATGGATGGTGACAGCCAAAGGGCCAAATAACATTAAGGTGGTCCATTACTTTTCTTTTTTTAATATTTATTCTGGGCTTTTTATGCCTTTAATTAGAGATAGGACAGTGGATAGAGTCAGAAATCAGGGATGAGAGAGAGAGAGAGTGGGGAATGACATGCATGGAGAAGCCACAGGTCGGATTCCAACCTGGGCTGCCTGCTTTGAGGACTTCAGCCTCCGTACATGGGGCGCGCACACTAACCGCTAGGCTACCAGCGCCCGAGGTGGTCCATTTCGAATACAACATTTTCCATACAGAAAAAACCTTTTAGACAAGCTGTGGGCAGATTCTTCATTAAGTTTCTGTTTCAGTTCAGTGTCAACAGTCATACCATCAAACTATATAGAAATAATGGAGACAGTTAGCATCCAAGTTTGTTAATTTCTAGGCTTTTCTATTTTTGAAAACCAACAAATTAGCAAAAGGAGGAATCATGTTTGTTACAGAATGTGGGAGCATCTTCTTTGAGAAGCTACAGAAACTATGTTTTGTTCCTGCGGGTGAATTCCGATGCTTCATGAGTCATTACCTGAGCAGCTGTGGCACAGTGGTAAACGGTGTTCTGATGAATGATTTTCATGTGTTTAATGATATGTCCAGAGCTGATGGCCCAGCCAACCTGACGAGACAACAACAGGTCATTAAAACAACGTGTGGTGGAAAAAAAAAAAAGGTTCTTAATATTTGAATTCTTTAACAATCTGTGTATTTACCTTCCAGCCAGTAGCACTGAAGGTCTTTCCACCACTGCCGATGGTGATGGTTCGCTCCCACATCCCAGGCAGGCTTGCTGTCAAAATATTGATATGATTGATATGCTAATAATAATAATGTAGCTTCTTGTGTATTGTACAGGCTGTGTCTCACCAATCTTCACATGCTTTGCTCCATCATAAGTCAGCCACTCGTACACCTCATCACTGATGCACAGCATGTCATGTTTGATGCACAGATCAGCGATCATCTGGAGCTCCTCAGTCTTATAAACCTGTAACAGACACAGATAGTTAACATCTATTTATACACAGATGATAACTTTAAAGAGACACACCACTGGTACATATCTTACTTTGCCTAACGGGTTGTTGGGAGTGTTGATAACGATGGCTTTCGTGCGAGGAGTGATTTTACTGGACAGCTCCTCAGGAGAGAGAACCCAGTCTCCACTTGTCAGGACGGCACCGCTCTCAACTTTCTGTAAGTACCAGTTGTTGTTGTTGTTTTTTTTAAATAGCTTGCTAATTTACGTACCATTACACAAGAAAAAGTGGAAGTTGTTGAAATATGCTGTGGAATCATTTTGTAAACTGTGTTTACCACTGACCGGCCTTAAAGGAACATACACTGCCTTCCCTCCCGCCATCTTCACCATCGGCTGGTAGCAGTCGAAGAACGGCTCGACAATTATGACCTGAAAGACAAAAGAATTCAATTTTACAGTATTTATGTTTATTACTCATTTTCCTAATTATCGCTACACTTCGGCTCATTTTGTACATACCTCATCTCCTTCATCAATGAGAGCTTGAAATGCACTGAAGAGAGCCTGATACGCTCCAACTGTGACCAGGATATCCTCAAACGGATCAATCTCATGTCCCACAACCCTACTGAAGAATTTAGCCATGTTTTTTACAAGAGGTGGGTGACCCTTGGGAAAGAAACAACCAAAAAAAACACAAAAAAACGTGAAGTAAATCTAGCTGTTCGATCTGCATCCAGTTGTTCTTAAAACATCAGCTCAATGAATACAAGAGAAGACAGAAAAACCACACTTACAAACGCTCGGGTGTACTGGTGCATCAGGGGTCCTCCACTCACAGCGCTGCAGAACGCCTCCTGCACAAACTTTGGAGGGGAGAAGTCAGGAAACCCCTGACCCAGGTTCACTGCTTTGTAGTCGGCTGCCAGCTTCGTGAATTCAACCCTGTTGGTGAAAAACAGTTCAGACCTTAAACTACTTTTACCAAATCAATCAAGACTAAAATCAGGTATGTGGTGACATTTGTGTAGTCTCCCCTAATTTAAGAGTTGACCCAGCAAACATTTCAACGAGCTACGTTTAGTTTAATTGATGTAGGAAGTGATTAGAGAACACATATTGAACTAAAATGAATACTCCTGATGAAATAACTAAAGCACTGATGAGATGTCAGTATAATCAGATATGGGCCTTCAAAGGATACATCTATATCAGCCTCTAGATCTACAGTATAACAGAATTAATACCATTGTAATGCACTCAGAATGCTTTCAGTGATTTAGAAATCGTTTCATTATGCAGTTTGTCCAGCAGAGCGACTCTTATGCCAATGCTCACAATACTCTCAGCGCTGTCTGCAGTACATGGAGCAGGACATCAGAGCAGAGCAGATGCAGGTTCAGACGAGACTTGTTGAAAATGTATAATATTGACGTGTGTTGGTTAATGAAATTATCCGTTTGAAAAAATAAAGTTAGGTTTACTTTTGAATAGGAATGTCTGTACTAAATTGGTTCAAAGATACAGAGAAAAGGTTCTTCTCTAGTTGAAGCACTTTGAAGTGCCTTGTTACCGAAACATGTGAGAAAATAAACTGGCCTTGCGTTAAAACGTTCTATATTGGACACCGTAGGTGAAATGTTCCTCTCTCAAACCGGTAAAGAAGTCATAAAGCTGGTAATCGTAAGGCTCTTGAAAACTTGAAGTTTCATTTCGAAGTCTTTAAGGTAAAATGATACGTCTGTCCACACAAATTACAGATAAATAAATGAATAGCCATAATTATTTATTTTTTTGGCAGAATCAGATAAACCTTCCTTGGGGAAAATATGGTCATCACAGTCGCTCTTAAAGGGTAGCACAACTGTCTTGGCATGCAGAGAGTTTGTCTTTATTTGCCCACATTTTCAAGTATCCATGCCTGCCATTGCTAAAGTAAAAAAATAATGCCAAAACATTTTTCTCTATTTTTCTTTCTTGAAAGCATAACTAGAAAGTCCAAAGTGTATTATGATTTTTGTTGGCATTCATACTGTCCTTAAACTACCATATGTTTGATGTTTGAGAAGAGAAAACAGAGGACTCTAAATGATGACATGTATCACTACACAAAATTATATCTTCTGATTACTTTTATTTATCAAGACCTGACTGTTTTTTTCTTTTTTGTAATTTTCCCTTTTTTAACATTCTGTTGTGACACTGATGTGGTTTCCAATTATAACTAGACAATTTGCATTTACCTGCGGAAAATGCTGATCGCTGAAATGTTTTGCAAAACACTGCTGAATGAAGAAGAATCAGCAGAAACAGCTGAAGCAATAGTAGATGAAGAAAGAGGAAAAAGTAAAAGAAGAGTAGTAGTAGAAGAAAAAGTAGTAAAATCAGAAGAACAAGAAGTAGAAGAATTAAAAGGAGTAGTAGAAGAAGAAGAAAGCAGTAGAAGATGAAGAAACAGTAGTAGAAGTGGTAGAACAAGAAGAAGATACTGTATTAAGACTGCTTAAATGCAGTCAGACAATGAGAAAAACGGGAAAGCGTCTCCCTATTGAGTGCTCATTTCAAGGGCTTAAATTAAGAGTTGGTGACTAAATGATGATTTTGTGAGCAAGAGGACAAATGGCCGAACGCGTTGATGTGATTTTCATGTCTGGGATCCAAGAAATGTGGAAACCACAGCGATCTAAAAAGTTAGTCCCAAGAGGTTTGGTCAGGGAAGTTTGTAGGAAGTTTACCGTTACCCCAGATGGACATTTATCTGGACCACCTGCCGCTTTGAAGCTCACAGTGTAAAAACCTTTGCTCCGTTTGTCCTGAAAACTCAAATGTGTGAGAGAGGACAAGTATGTGAACGTCTTAAAGCAAAAATGAATGGAACACAGCCGAAGTTATACGGCTGAGAAAAAAGTGGAAAAGTGGAAAAATGTTCCCATTCATTTGAATGTGGAAAAAGTGGAATAACTTAAAAAGTAAAAGTAGTAGAAAAGTGAAAAGTCATCATGTCCCGAAGAAGGCGGATAGTATGATAGTTGAATGGTGGAAGCATAGACTGTAAAAAAAAAAAAAAACTGTTGGAGAGTTGAAAAGGGCCAAAAAACGTACAGAAGTAGAATAATAATAATATTAATAATAAAGATTTGGATAACAACGAATTATCTAATTATTACACTAATTAAAAAATTTTTAATCATTACAAAAAAAATGTTAAATTTTCTCGAACGTATTTTTATTCATAATTTGTATATTTCTTGGTTTTAGCATGCAGTCTTAAATATAACAGGTTCAGACTCTTGTGTCCTGTAGTTTCTCACCAAACGTTTTTGTCCACTCCTTCTGTTCTGCTTGCATGAAGCCGTCTTGCCATGATTATCTGAAATACAACATTATAATGTGAAACATTTTATCGCTACCTGTTATTTAAAAGTGTGTTTTTATTTAGCTGCAGCTGTACTCACCTTGTTGTTGTGTCTTATTGCACTCAGACGAATTAAAGTTAAATTAAAGGTAAGATTCGTGAAAATTCCCATTAATGGATGAACATCGCCTAACAGCGTTTAACCCGTCGATTATCCCGACCGGAAAGACCACAATGCACCTAGAAGGTATTTAAACAATTTGTTTGTCTTAAACTGTCACCGCCTGAAGTTATTTGATGTTTTATTCAAACACTACAGAGTTGTTTCAGTTAAACTCTTGGACCGCCCCTTCAGTCTCCTTGTGTTTTCTTTTTACTTCCTGTCTCGAGATTACCAGGATGTAACCTCAATTTCTGTGAGCACGTGCAAACTATATTTAAAGAGCGGCGCGCGCATGGAACAGGGGCGACAAAGCAAAACAACGAAACTCAACCTGCAAATAATAATAATAATGATAATGATAATAATAATAATGATGATAATGATAATAATAATAATAATAATAATGATGATAACAATAATAATAATAATAATAATAATAGTACTAATAATGATAATAGTAATAGTAATAATAATAACAATAATAATAATGATAATAGTAATAATAATAATAATAATAATAATGATGATGATAATGATAATAATAATTATTATTATTATAATAATAATGATAATGATAATAATAATAATAATAATAATAATAATAATAATAATGATAATAATAATAATAGTAACAACAATAATAATAATAATAATAAGAGCTCAACCATAATTCAATGAGACAAACAAGGATGAATTATATGTACAAAACATAGCATTTGAAGAACTAGTTCGACATGTTTGGAGAAAATGAATTATATTTTTAAGGATTCCCATAATTCGTCAAGCATGAAATTTCCAATTAGTACTACTTTAAATAATTAATAACTACCTACAACGTATAAGTAGGCTACACAAACACAACTGTATTATGGGATATTGATATTGTTAAATGTCTTCCTGCTTTTTTGTCTTTTTCAACCTGAATAGCAAATTGAAGAGAATATTCCCAAACTGAATCCATGTTGAGAATAATCAGTAGCCTATACAAATAGTTTTCAACGAGCTACTCCACAACGGTAAAATATTGTTTGACTTCAATAAATAAGTAATAGTATAAGGGAATAATAGAACAATATATATTCTAATCGATGGCAGGGTTCATTTGTCAGCATACTAGAGTACTTCTACTATTCCCCTAGGGGACAATAAAGTGTATGGTATCGTATTCCATACCTTATTATATTTGAATTATAAACACTTCATTGGTGTAATTTTCTTCTTTTGATGGAGTTTTTGATAGCTGCAATGGCACATTGTTGGGTTGCTGATGATAAGAGGTAAAGAGTGGTTTGGTTGCAGGTGAACAGGGGTTGATGGGTATTTTGAGCCCAACTGCTGGTTTATTCCCAAGTTGACACTGAGTCAATAATGTGAAGACACAACACTAACACTAAGGCTAGTTGTGATGCTGTTACCCTGTAGTTACCTACAACCAACACTGATACTGGGTCAAAAGACCACACTGGTAGTAGTTTTATTCAAACCAGTTTAATCCAGTATTTGAAGTGTCAGAGTTAGGGGTTGTAGTTTTGTCTAAGTAAAGGGTCTTTATACTTTATTAGACAGGTCTAAACAAGCACTTTTCTCAGTTTGGAAATAAGTACAAGAACAGTGTTACATCTAAGTAACATGTTAACTTCCATTATGAGGTTATCTACAAAAGACTCACAACTTTTCATAAACTTTTAAGGGTTTTCATAACAGATCCAGGTCTGGAAAATGCCATTTGGATCTTCCCAGAAATAGCCATAAATTTGCTTTTCTAAAAATAATCGGAGAGATTTGTTATTATTCTCAAACGTCTTATCATTTTTCTTAACCAGCCAAAAAAGAGAAGCATGTTTTTAAAACATTTTCAGCTATAACTTCAGAAGACTCTCGGCTGTAGTTGGTATAATCTATAAATAATTCAAGTAATTTCAAGAAAGAAGGATCACATTTTATTGATCATGACAGACACATGATACGACTCACTGACAGACATACCTCTGTAAAAAGATAACTATTTCTCACTCGTTACAAAATTGTATAGATTCTCTTGCTTCAAAACACCACACACAGTTTCATCTTAAACTGCAGCTTATTTCAAGTCCTCAGGCAGCACTCTGCCTCTCTTCCTCGCCCTGTCCTTCTTCTTCTCTGTTTTCGCCTTCTTTTGTTTCTGGATGTTCTTTTGCCTCTTGTCCTGCCGATGCTGCATCTTCCCTAAGATGTTCTGGCTGCGCTCATTCCAGTTCTTCTTCCTCTGAGACCGATTCTTCTCCTTCTTCTTTAACGCTGTGCGCAGCATGTTCTCGTCATCTTTGATTTTGATGCCCTCCGCCTTGTAGAGCATGTTGGTCCACTTCATCTTCTCCTCGTACTCGCGGGCCTTCCCCTCGTCTTTCTCCCGCAGCTGCTCCAGCTTGGTTTTGCGAGCCTCCACGCGCGTGAGCAGCTGCTTGTAGTTCCTTCCCGTCAGCGGTGTGATCTGACCCTTCATGCTCTGTTTCTTCAACTTCTTTTTCTGGATTTTGTCCACATAGCCCTCCTCCACCGTCTCCACCTTGTTGAAGATGATGGCGGTTTGGTTTCTTTTGTTCGCAGCCGGGGCCGGTGGTGCTTCCTGTTTAATCTCCGGCTGCTCTTCTTGGGCGCTTTGTTCAGCAAGTTTCTTCAGCCGGAACTCTTTCCTCTTTCTCTTCTTGCGCTCACGCTCCAGTTTTCTCTTTGCTCGCTTTGCCTGGACGGCCTCTGATAATGCATCCTTTGGAGCTCCCTAAAAAAACGTGAATAAATCATGTTAGTCCAAAAAAGAAACCAAACTCATTTTTAACTACTGCACAGATCAATCCTCAACGTGAACCAAATCGTATTAAAGAAGAGGATTAGACTCTTTGATATCTGCTGTATCAAAAGTCTACTTTAAATAGTAAAGTAGTCAAAATATTTCAGCTATCACAAAACTAAGCGTTCCCTGCTGTGGCCTGTAGCTGCACAGGATAAAGACGACTACAGGAGGAAGCAACAGGATCAAATCTGGCTGACCAGCCGCTGATCACAGCCAGGCACTTTATTTATTTCAGCCATACAGTATATTGGTATCCATTTAGGATACATGTTTCCTGGTATTCACATTTTTTTATACACCACAGAGGAGAATAATCTTGCTTTTGTCAATATGAAATTGAGATATTTGTTCTGCTTTTACAAGCACTGAAATGAAATGCAACAAGAAATGTTGTGGAACAAGACTGGAAAGTAAACTCTGTTCCTCTTTTTCCTTTCTTAGTCTTAAGTTTGCGGCGACACGGACGAGTTATTAACTTCTTAAAGTGCAAAAATTGGAATTTTTTTTAATCCTTGTTAAAAGCAGGTAATAATCATATTTAATATCAGCTGAAAAATCCACATTGTGCATCCTGTTGGTGAAGTTTAAATTCAGATTCACGGCCACTATAGCCGCTTTCACACATGCACTGCACTCTTGAAGATTTCTCGGCATGTTCCGGGCTGAGGGGCGTATGTGAACGCAAACAACCAAAATCTGCTCACCCAGACTTCACCTAGGCAGACTATTTCCCTCTTATCCCTCAAGTAAAAATTCTGCATGAAGTCGGGGCGAGCTGATGTACAAATAGAGCAGGTAATTGTCTGGAACATTCACAGCAAACAGATGGGCGGGATGACATTTCTCTCGTTGATTGGAGTTTGTCTGGTCGCCTCAGTTGCCTGTATATATATTTTTCTTCTTTTGTGTTTGTGATGCATTGATGCGCTTATACATGTCACAGTGTTGTAAATGTTTCATCGAAGACTCTACCTCCTCCTGGGCCACCTAAACCTTGACTGTTTGAAGATATTTTTCCAGCAAACAATTACAATCTCTCACTTTGAGGTGCATGTGTGAAATGACATTCTGAAGACATATCAAGGCCTTAGTGTCCTGAAAGTATCTAGAGTTCATGTGTGGACTTCAAATGGAGGATCAATAAACCTTCATGTGTGCTGCCTACCTGCCCTCTGGACTCCTCGATCTTTTCATGTAGTCTCTTGCGGAGAACATCTACTGTGGAGAAGTTGGACTCTACATTTCCTCCTTCAAGAGAAAAACAGAAGAACACATGAAGAACATAATGACAAGAAAAATAAAGCTAGAGAGAAACATTAAATGTTTAAAAAGAAGCATGACTTTATTAAGAAACCCAGCATGTACCTTTAGGTGGCTGTGTTGTTGATCCATTCACGCCCTGGGCTTTGGAGCCGTTCAGTTTCGCTGTGTTCGAGCCTTTCTGTGCGGCAGTCAAGGGTACAGATTTCTTCGGAGTTTTCTCATCGGCAACCTTTTCTTTAAAGTGCTTCTTTTTGCACTTTTTCTTCTTCTTTGGAGGACCTGTGTCACTTTTACCCTTAAAATGAGCTACAAACAAACACAACACAGATATATTAATGGACATATAATGGAATGTTCAACGTTATAGTGGTGATATGACTACAATTATTCTGTTTGCCATCAAATGTAAACAAACATGTCCGTGTGTTTGCGTCATTAAAATTGATTCAAATAAAAAGAAACATTTCTCCTGTTTGAGGCTGAAACTTTTTTATTGTTTTGTTTATCAATTCAATCCAATTTTGTGATTCCCAAACGTTTTATTCCTGTGATCTGTGTACAGGTTTGCACAACCATAAAGGTGTGAGCTGTTCAATCTTTCCTTGTGTCATTTTAAACTGACAAGGACATTTGTAGGACACAAAGTAAACAGGTTCTAATACTTTTTCTTCAGTTAAAATAGAGATGGGACTGATCTGATCTGATATCTGTATCGGGTCTGATATTGACATCATTCAGTCTCACTTTGAAGACAGACTGAACTGAAAGAGAATACATCAACATGTTCTACATAACAAAAAGCACAATTTAGTTTGAAATATTTAATTTGTAAACCTGACAGTTGTTGCTGCTACCGGTTTGTAAATGAAGCCAGCAAAAGTAAAATAATAAAATAATATAATAATAATAATTAAAAAAGTCCTAGTAATATTTTTAATTTTATATATATACACACATATATATATATATATATATATATATTTTTTTTTTTGATAAAGAAATGTAATGTGGGGTTTACTACAGCTTTGTGAAAAATTACACACAATTACAATCACCTGTCGACTTATTATGAAAAGGTGGATCGGAGCATCTTTAAAGTTAAAAGTATTTTTTAAGGCTAAAAAAGAATTTAAAAAAAACAATTTATAACAAGCTATAAATGTAGTTATTAAATTAGTCACAATATCGATTGAAATGTGACAGTGTAGCGCCTCCTGTGGTCACTTGCTGTAATAGCCAGAGGTTCTCTGAAAACATTTGTGCATTTTAGCTGCCTTCTTCAAACGACAGCACTTACACTGTATATAATATTTGCAGTGACAGCAGACAACATATTATCAGGAACAGGTATGAAATAAAAACAGCTATCCAACATACCAAATGGTTTCTTCTTCGGCTCCTGCTCTTGATGAGAAAAGACTTTACTCGCGAGTTTCTGAATGTACGAATCCCTTGAGGCGAGATCCATGTCGACGAAATTAACCTGAAATCCAGCTACAAAAACACATGAAAGCCTGCGATTTACAGACAGAAGATATCAACATATTCCTCTACACACGTGTGGGGGGGGAAACACGGGGCGGAGCGTCACAAACCCGGAAGGAGTAACACCTAAACATGTCCTCCATGAGAACAGTTATGTAGCTGCTCTTTTTACCTCTTGTGATTCATTGTGTGTATTCAACATGAGTTCTCTGAAAGCAGCGCTGGTTTACTCCAGCAGGCTTCTTACGACACTTAAAAAGCAGGTGAGTATTTTTTTTTTTCTCTATCAAAGACTTTCTTCTGTTTGCTTCGTGAATGTCATTGTTGTGGTTTCAGGGTTTGAGCTTGTTTTCTGTTGTTGCAGACAAATGTCATTTACATCAAGAGGACTCTACTCCTGCCTACACTGACAGTGTTCAAACGTACAGACGGTAAATAAAGTCATGACAGTATTATACAATGTGAAGAGGAAACTAGACTCCAGTTATTACTTCTCCTCAGTACTTTTTGTTCATAACCCCCAAAATGAACGAGACATCATCAGTAAAGAATACCTGTTGAAATGAAAATGCAATAGTTAATTGAAGAAGGCAGAAAGGAAATGTTTGATCTAAGAGCATGTCTAAAGGTTATTTGCCTGAATAGTTTCAATGCAATTTACAAGTTCAATTTGTAAATCTACATTTATATGTTCAATGAAAACAAAATTGATCTCATGAAAACTTCTACACTAGGTAAGTCATAAACATGTTAAATTGCATGAAACGTTTCCTTTCATCATTATTAATTAACCTCAATTTAAAGTCACAAGCTTTGCCATCAGTATGTTCACTGTTTGCCTCTCATTATGAATTTGAACAAAGATTTTATGTGCATCCTTCCTTTGTTATTACCAGGTCGGTTCGTTCCCTTTGTGCGACAGTGCAGCTCCACGGCAGCGGGGGCAGAGAGAGGAGAAGACTCCTTCCTCAAATGGTTCCTGCTGCTCATCCCTGCCACCACCTTCGGCCTCGGTACATGGCAGGTTGTGGCTTATGTTCTCTGTGCTATCACTTTTACAAATGGATCTGTGGTTTTGTTGTTCGTCGAACTGACTCGGATACTTTCATTTCTGTGAAGGTGAAACGGCGTCAGTGGAAAATGCAGCTGATTAATGATCTGACAAAGCTGACGACAGCAGAACCGATTCCTCTTCCTATTGAGTGAGTACCCTTAGGTTTTATTACCTTTCATTCATATTCTCAAAACGCAGACTGGCTGTTCATAGCAGCACACTTTATACAACTTTAAACCAAACCGCTTCATGAGGCAAATAACGCCATATAGACATAGAACTGTGAAAGTCAGTTTTGTTGTTGTTTTAGATCCAAACTCAACAATTTCTCTGTTTTAAAGTCAGTTTTTCAAACTTGTTTTTTTTCCAAGGTTAAAGTGAAATGAAAATGTACAAAATTTCAAGGACAGGAGAAATACAGCAAAACAATTCTTGCACCTGTGATTACAAGAAATGTGTGAAGCCTTGTCTTTGAAATTTTAGGAATAAACGCTAAAAGATACGCGTTCCCTCTCAACTGTGATTCATGTGATTGAACTTTTTTGCTTGTATAAAATGCACCTGATGCACTTAACATGCACGCATTGAAACTGATTCACTGGAAATAAGAATGCATTCTATATTTACGACTCTTGTGAGGGTGGTACTTATTTATTGCCCTAAAAACGGCCACTATTTTACCTATTGTGCAGATGTCCTCATTGTTGATTTTCTCACTGGGTGTTAGTCCTCATGAGCTGAACAGCTTAGAGTACAGGAGGGTGCGAGTGCGAGGACGGTTCGACCACTCACAGGAGCTGTACGTTCTGCCCCGCTCACCTGTCGACCCCGAGAAAGAGGCCCGAGAGGCAGGCAGGCTGTCCTCAAGCGGAGAGACCGGCGCCAATGTCATCACTCCGTTCTACTGTACTGACCTCGGGTAAGACAACACACATGAAACACTGTTTTCATTTCGATATCCTTGTATTTATACATTTAATGCACTTAGTGACCTTTGCCCCCCCTTTCGACCGCAGCATCACAATCCTCGTGAACAGAGGATACGTCCCGAGGCAGAGGATAAGACCAGAGACCAGGATGAAGGGGCAGGTTGGTAGTAATGCAGGAGTGACACACTTCATACTCCACCAGTTTGATCATAACCCTCTTAGAGCAATATGGGACTCATAGTGGAGAGTAAAAAAACGCACCAGAACCAGTTGTCTTCTTTGTTGGAAATGGTTGCCTACATAACCCACAATGCAACACATTTGCAGCCAATGCAGCTGTTTTTATGCTTTTAGAGATTTAAGAGCAGACTACAGAAGTCTGTTGAATTTACTTCTATTGAACTCCACAACCTCGAATCTTTGTCTGCTCCGGACACAGACTCCACTTGTGGCATTGAATGAGATTTCATGAAACTCCCTCTGCATTTAAATAATCTTTAATGTTTGCACTGTAGTTTCCCTTTCAACCTCATGTATGTGGATTAAAATATTTGCGGACACAACTGCAAACATTTGATGCATTTAACCTTTTGCCTCCCCTCTCTGTATTTGTAATCCTTTACAACCTGTTCAATAGAGCTGTGATAATGTGTCTGTGTAGGTGGAGGATGAAGTGGAGGTGGTCGGTGTGGTCAGGCTGACAGAGCAACGAAAACCCTTTGTGCCGAACAATGATGTGGAGAGAAACCGCTGGCATTACCGAGACCTGGAAGGCATGTCCACTGTCACTGGAGCGGAACCCATCTTCATTGATGCTGACTTTGGTACGTTGGTACAAGGACTACAAAATCCATGATGCTCTCTGACTCAACTACATAATAGTGATGATCTGATAAATGGAGCCATTAAGATGTCATGTTTGCTTAAGCGAAACTGTCTCGTGTCTATTAGGCAGCACCATCCCTGGTGGACCACTAGGCGGACAGACCAGAGTCGCTCTGAGGAATGAACACATGCAGTACATCATGACGTGGTGAGTGGGAACTTTCACTGTGAACCACCGTTACTCTGTCCTGTTACTTGTCAGTATATTGTGTAATTGATTTTGTCACTCATATTTTTTCCTCAGGTATGGCTTGTGCGCCGCCACCTCCTACATGTGGTTTGCAAAGTTCATCAAGAAGATTGTCTGACGTGATTTCATGCGGTGACAGTTAAAATACATTGTGCTATACTTGATTAGTGCTGTATCAGCTCCGGACGCTGCATTGATGCAAATATGTAAATAGATGTGGATTATTCTCCAGAAAAATGTTGATGGGAATAAATTAAGACTAATTAAACTGGCTCCCTCCATTCTTCACTATGCTGCACATCACCTCTGGGTAAGAATACTCTGTAGTATTTTGAATAGTTATATTTGTACAGTGACTCAAGTAATTCTCTTTTAGACCGTTTTCCTGTTAAATAAAACCCCAAATAATTTGTGCAAAATTGCCCAAAGACTTATTAATCAAACTTCCTTTGACCTGCTCTATCCCTTTTCTTTTATCCTTCATAAAAACACACCCATACAATTCATTGGTCAGGCAGAGATCACCAGATAGAAAATGATCTGTACTCAGTGTCAGCATCACTGCATTAATAAGCCAAAGATCCACCAATCAGCAATGTGTGGTCCTTAAAAATGTGCAGTCTGCAGTAAACTAAGATGCATTCCTTCAGCATGTGAACTACTCCACAGTAGTTAACACTATTTATTGGTGCCTTCAGTATGTTTGTATTGCTGTTTTCAAACCTTATAGCTGTGAATTAATTGGACAGGGATTTGATTAATGTTCCAAACACTTCATTAGGGACACAGATGAATCATTTACTGGACCAACTGGTGGTTCATGCTTTGTTCCAATCCCCCACTCAAATTTCAGTACACTTTACAGTCACTGAAATGTTTTACAAAAGTGTTACCTGAAAACATTTTCAGTAAGCTTTTGGACTTACATCGTGCTAAAAGAAATAATCACACCTTTCCATTCCAATAACTTTGATAATATGCTAGATTTTTTGCTGTCACAATATACAACTCTCTGGTCCTAAATACATTTTCCTCATCCCTTCTTGCAAAAACCTCTCCAATCATAATATACTATTAAATTAATAGCTCACATTCCTCCATTGTAAATTGAAAGACTTCTGTTCAACTTTGATCATATTTCAATTCTGCAATAATAAAAACAACTCCTTCACTCGATTAGGACATATATTTTTTATTCCAAACAATTTAACCAAGCTTGGTTGCCAGTTCCTTGGCCTTTGCCTTCTCCAGCTTGCTGATGCGGGCCGTGGATTTGGGACCCATGATTCCACCTCCCCAGTGACGACGGATCTGGAAAAAAATTAAACAAGTTTAGATGGTGACAAATGTTCTAAGATACAAAAAAAACTTTAATTAATCAACAGTTAACTCTTTTTCACCTCCTCATATCTGTCATTGTAGTTGGTCTTGATGGCTTCCACAAGCTTGGCAAGTGCACCTTTATCCTCACTGTGAGAGAACAAAACTAGTCAGTACAATACAGAAACATTTATGCATCACATCAACATTGATTTTCTAGAATGACATCACCTATTATACAAACAGTTGCAGAAATGCTACATTAACCTTTGTTAAGAAATGTATTACAAGACATGCCCTGAAAGGAAAACTATGTCACTCTTCCAAATAAGGTTCTCTGATGTTTTACTGCTCTTAAACCTTTAATAAACTTAAGAGTTCAGTTTGTGTGCATGCTTACGGGTTTGTCTGTGTGAAGGCGACTGAAGTGCATGTCTTTCTGTGCACCAGTCTGCCCAGTCTAGCCTTGCCCTTGACGATGCAGTATGGGACGCCCATTTTGCGGCACAGCGCTGGCAGGAACACGACGAGCTACAGGATGAAAATAATCAAAAGGAAAATTTTTAACATAAACCCGAAGAAGCAATACTTTCAATGTGACCAAAAACCAGCCACAGTGTTACAATGGTCAGGACATGTTGGTTGGTGGTTTCTGCTCAGGGTTAAAAAGCTCGTGTTTTGATCCACATAGAGGATTCAGGTGAAGAAATTCAAACATCATTGCTAGAGACCACTTCCTACACACGACAGAACTTAACAGCTGCTGAAGTATTAAAATTTACCTCAATAGGATCCACATCGTGGGCAATGATGACCAGCTGGGCCTTCTTGCTCTCCACCAGAGAGGTGACAGTGTTCACACCTGTAAGCAAAGATAAATACACAATTATCATCTCAATATTTAACAAGCAGCCTCAAACTATTTTAAAGGAACTTTGGCCAATGCTCAGGGTTAAAAAGCTCAATAACCATCAAGGAGTGATTCAGGTGAAGAAATTCAAGTCATCATTGCAGTAAGGCCAAGTTAAATAAAACATCTAACAACATGGTTCCTTTGATAACATACAAGACACAATCTACAGTCTCACAGCTCTACCATCATTAATGCTCACCTGCACGGAGGACAGGGGGCCTCTTGGTTGGGGTGTCTCCCTTTCCAGCGGCCTTCTGCTCAGCGCGGGCCAGCAGCCTCTGCTTCTTCTCCTGCTTGGTCTCTGGCCTGTACTTGTGGGCCAGCTTGAACAGCTGTGTGGCTGGGGAAAGCAAGACACTGCAAAATGTACTTCAACCACTCAAAATTGGCCACATACAATGTTTGCATGAAACAGATGGAGAGAATTCCTATTCTATGCATCAGTGATCTTGGTGGGATGTCAGCACTGTCAATAAGATAGCAAATATTCGTTCACATCATTTGCAAAGGGTGACGCCATCAAATGAGTTGATTTCTTCTGCGGGCAGCAATTTCAAAACATGAAACTCACCAGTCTGGCGGTCCAGAGCCTGGGTGAACTGGTTGATTGCAGGGGGAACCTTCAACCGCTTGTAGAGGATGGAGCGCTGCCTCTGCAGGCGAATGTAACGAGGCCATTTCACAAAGCGTGTCAGATCACGCTTGGGCTGAATATCCTGGCCTGTGGGATTCAACAAAACATTTTTAAGTGTCCAGCATCACATGGAGCAAAACTGTGGCATCTCTTGTTTTGTTTTTTAAATCCAAAAAAAGTGCATCAGCGATCTTGGTGGGAAATATTCATCACTGTCAATAAGATAGCAAATATTCGTTTACATCATCTGCACCTTAATGATTCTGATTCCTCACAAAGAGCTACTTACCGATGCCAAAGTTCTTTGGCCTCTTCTCGAACAGGGGGTTGACCACTCTTTTGGCCTCATGTTTCTTGGCCACAGAAGGGGCCGGTGCCACCTTCTTCCCCTTAGCCTTCTTTCCTTTAGGCTGTGAAGAAGACAATTGTGTTAGTATACCATAATGAAGTAACTCAACAAAAAGAAGAAACGGTAAGGCAAATGGTTTCCATCATTGAATGTGCCTATGCTTAATACAGTGAAAATCATCCATCGTCCAACCTCCTCCCATAAACACATTAAGAAAGCACAAGTGTTTTAAGATTTAACAATATGAGCTCAGAACAGTGACTCAAGCTACACAAGTCTCCATGCTGACCAGTCTGCTCTGCTGCTAACATGCCACACTAAACTATTTCAAAACGATGAACAACATTGTAAACATGATCCTCAAATGCATTCTTTAAACACCTGAAAAATTAAACAGCCAAGACCAAAAATATGCAAGAACCACAGCTGCAAGTAGTAACATTAGCAGAACCATTCACTCAAGTAGAACCAATGGTAAGGCCCATTCACACCACCCGGACACACTGCTATAATCACAAAACACCATATAGACTAAATGTACTTTACAATGTATAATAAACACACACAGAGTATAACTAGCTATCAAAATCCACGCGGAATTTGTAATAAACAACACTAAATATATCCCGGAATCGAGCATGTTCACTGTGCTACTCCAGCCGGCTACACCGGGGCCAACTTTAACAAAGTATAACCCAAAAAAACAACAACATCTACGCTCAATATCAACATCATTCGTAAGATCATGCTTCAGAGAATCAATAAGTATACTTAACACTGTCGGAACAAACAAATAGGCAAGGATGCAAACAGATACAACAGTGGCGATGATTTCTCAGAAGAATCGGCTATGCACCCACCATGTCGGATCAGGCAGAAAGGAAGTCAGAGGGATTCTGGGTAGTATAAATACCGCGAGGTTTCGCTGCCGTGGTAACGTGGCCGGTCATGTGCCGATCTGAGATCAGATTTGACAATACACGCTTTCATATAAATGTGGTGTAAAAAGTTTGAATGCTGACTCAGGATCCGTGTGACGATTATTGTCTCTCAGTGTTAATTTGGTGTGTACGTCATTCATTATCAATTAAACTTGATTTGTTTAAAGCTTTATCAACTTTTAAAATAAATAACTTTAATTCATATATTTTGTTATGAGCGTATTTTTAGTGAAATTGTTAGTTTTAAATATATTACACTTGATTAGTAATTATAGGACGCGCTTTTCCAATATAATTAAATATATATTTGGTCCTATTATTCACTCAACTGCGATTAAATGCTGTGACTGGAATAATTGAAACTCCACCTTGAAACAAATGCAAAAATATTGAAAATAGGAGAGTAACAGTAAAGCGTCACTAAATAACGTCATTCTCAAGTTTTGTTTTATTTTTTTATTTATTTAAATAACTATATAACTCGCAGGTTGAATTACTTTAAATGTGATGACTTCCTGGTATTATTTTTTATTGTATTTTTTTCTCTGCCGTTATTTAACTGATGTACATATGTTTTATTTTTATTTTTAATAATTTTATCCTTTTTTTCCTGTTTTCTTGAGCTGCTGTAATACAAAAAATTTCCCCATGGGGGGGATCAATAAAGTTTATCTTATCTTATCTTCACGTTATTCTCTAAGTAAGAAAAAAAGAAAAGAAAAAAACGCAGAAAATCGTAATTGAGAACGGAGACATGTGCATTCTTATATATTAATATAATATATATTGATTTTTAATATATTAATATAAAACATATGTTTTAATACATTAATATTAAATAATATTAAAAATCAACTAAATAATCACGTGTCTGACAAAGACCGTTTAACTGTACACTCGTAAACAGGCGGAACGAATCTCCCACAGTGGACGGGGGGGAGGGGAATATTTAACCGACGTTCGCTGTTGCATCACTTCCGTAAACAGTGTGTTTAAACAGTGTTTAAAATGTCATATCTATTAACATTATAGCCATACGCAAATGACGCACAGGTAATGGAGTTATAATTTAAAAAAAAACAGTATGTTTTGAAGCATTATGAGTATTTATGAGTTGAGCTGACGTCTCCTTGTTGTCTCCTCCTCTAACCCTGCGTCGTGCCGTGCCGTGCCGTGCCGTGCCGGACCGTGCTGCTGACTCTGGACGGGAGGGGGCGGAGTTGTTTAGGGATGGTTGGGCCGGGGTATATCGTCCCTCCTCGACTCGGCTCCTTGATTCCTTTGCTGTCTTTCGGTTTCCTTCCTCGGACTCAGCATTTTTTTTTTTTTTTTTTTGTAAACATGGACAATGAAAACGATCGATTATCAGCGTGACGGCTGCTCGTGTCGGTGAATACGAGTTCACACATAAAAAAAAAAAAAAGATGTTGTCGTCGCTGCAGCCGTGAGATGGTCGCTGAGCAGTCGTTGGTAAACACCAGGGCCTTTTCCACGCTGCAGAGCTGGTAGATAATTGGTTTAAACCGTGGGGCTGTTATCATGAAAAGATGGCCTGAACAACACCACAGCTGTGCAACTTGTGTCCCATCTGTCAAGTCAGAGGCGAGGTGCGTCCGTTTTCTGTGTCTGCAGATCGCCTGTTTGTGTTAACAAAAAAAAAAAAGAAAAAAGAAAAGGCTAGCTTTAGCTGTAACATCTGACATACGACAGTTTTAGCTGCTGCTGCTGCCCTGTGCAAATTAGTGAGACAGTGAGAAGGCCATGGCTGAACAAGAAATGTGTCCTCACCTGGACTCCATAGGAGAGGTGACCAAGGAGGACCTCCTTCAGAAATCCAAGGTGGGTGTCATTCATTCACTTGCGTATTCTTCACAATGTCCATGAGATGCCCAGTGCAGTTCATTGGCTGCATATGATCTGTTCAGCCCTCATGATTCAGCCTGGTCTCTTTATCATTTCATCAGCTTTGTTTCAGCTCTGCTATATATCGACAACCTGGATTGTGCCAGCAAACCCATTCCTTTAGAATCAAATTAATTTGGGCGCGCAAATATGTTACTGTGATCTTCTGTTTTGTATACATGCATCAAGTTTGTCTTTTTTTTTTTTTGCTGCAGGGAACTTGCCAGTCTTGTGGAGCTGGAGGGCCAAACCTGTGGGCCTGCCTGCAGGTTAGGGTTGAGACTTGAATACTTACAAAACAAATTAAAACATTTTGCCGGGTGGTTCGGCTTGTGCACCTTTAACTATGAACGCCTGAGTGCAGCTACCTACTTTAAATTGAAGGGCCAGCTTAATGTTTAATAATGAATGATGATGTTATGGCATTGTTGTTGTTATAAATGCAGCAGCTTTCAAACTCTGGCAGGAAATCAAGCACACCTTCTATCGATTTAGAGCTGTGATTTATTTTCACTGTGATAGACGTTCTATGATATTCATTGTGTGAATTACTTATGATAGACATGTAGATATTGTGACCCTTTTTGTTAGATAGATGAGAGGATTTAACAGCTCTGGGTTCCTCTCTAACACACTCTTTGTGCTTTTTAGAGCGACTGCCCTTACGTCGGTTGTGGCGAGTCATTCTCTGATCACAGCACGCTGCACGCACAGGTAAATCACAGCTTCAGCCGTCAGTTGACCTTCTTTGTGATTTTTTTTAATTTTTTAATTTTTTTAAAGCAGATGACGATAAAATCAGTCCTTTAAATCATTGTGAGTTTGTTTCCTTGTAGACTAAGAAGCACAACCTGACCGTTAACCTGACAACGTTCAGGATCTGGTGCTATGTGTGTGAGCGGGAGGTGTTTTTGGAGCACAGGCCGGCGCTGGTTCCCGCCCCCGCCGCTCCTCACCACTGCCTGTCTGCAGAGCGGGTATGTTCTCTCTCTCTCCTCAGTGGGTTACGTCTCCTTCAAGTGCTGCGTTTTCAAAATTCACACGACCTCTTCTTCACATGCCTAACACTAGAAGTATCTTTTGATTGTTTTTTTTTGTTTTTTTTCCAGGAAGCAGCTCCTCAGCCAGTAGGTCACCCGCTTAAAGGCGTACCCATTGCTGTTGCCGAAGAAGACGGCTCAGAGTCAGAGGAGGATGAACTGAAACCCAGAGGTACAAAGAGTCAACAATTCTTTTCCTAAACAACATTTTTTTTTTCTTGATGTTGAAAAAGCGGTTGAGATGTAAAAGTCATTCAAAAAGCCCTGAAGAATGATCTCCAAAAGCATTGAAATTATTGCTTGTAATATCAGGTCACAGCTGCCATTTTAAATAGAGATAAATACTTAGGAGCTTAAGAATAGCGGCCAGGCCTTTTTTCCAGACGAGACGTGTGTGATAATTAAAAATAATTCTCTGTGGGGGTCTTCTCTGTTCAGCTGGGTCCAAAAATAAGTCGTTACTGCTTCGTTTTAAGTTTGGCACTCTCTGTGAACATAAGAAACCTTTTCTGTCCTTTCATGCAGGCCTGACAGGAATGAAAAACATCGGAAACTCGTGCTACATGAACGCCGCTCTTCAAGCTCTGTCCAACTGGTGAGGTCACTTCCTGTCATTACACCTGCTCCATCCCGAGAGATGTGTTTCTTCCTCTTCTTCTTTTTCATGAGCCCTATTCAGACTGCTGTGTCGAGCTGCGTTTTTTTTTATTTTTACGCTTCTGTGACGTTTAGCGTTCAATCTGAATGAGGCGGAGGAGTAATGACCTCCGTGCCGTCTTATAGCAGAGAACAGCGCTGTGTGTGTGTGTGTGTGTGTGTGTGTGTGTGTGTGTGTGTGTGTGTGTGTGTGTGTGTGTGTGTGTGTGTGTGTGTGTGTGTGTGTGTGTGTGTGTGTGTGTGTGTGTGTGTGTGTGTGTGTGTGTGTGTGTGTGTGTGTGTGTGTGTGTGTGTGTGTGTGTGTGTGTGTGTGTGTGTGTGTGTGTGTGTGTGTGAATTCCGATTCATTGGGTCACGATTCGA